AAATGACAGCTGGCTCCACAGACATGACAAGCTTCAGAAGACATACAGGTCCATCACCTACATTAAGGCAAGGTATGCTGATAGTATCCACTGCATAATGTTTGATGCTATTTTGAGAGGCAGCTCAGGGTGAAAGAGGGCAGTGTAAAAAATTGAAGTCAGAATCTGGAGACTAATTCCTTGCCACTGACTTTGTGACACTAAACATCAGATTTCATTAAGACAGCTTGCAACAAAAATCAAATTAAGTTTAAAAGAAAGTCTACAATACAAGCTAATTTTTTTTTTAGCTCAAAAAATTGGGTTAAACAGCATGGTTACTACGTTGTACACAAATACACTTGTGTTTTGTTATTTGCAGCAATGTAACATACAGGTTAAATGCTGTCAAGTCTAAACCACAATCAATTGCTAAATCAAAATAGTAAAAACAAACCTGTCCAGAAAAAGTTTCCTCTAATCCTGCATATTGTACTTTTTGTTTGTTGTCTACTCCAGCTGATTTCTCAAACATATGCTTGCATTACAGACTTCTCCAGCATCTGGAATTTGGTCTACATGATACACAGAGGTTGCACTGAAGTCTTAAACAGACTTACTAAATGATGAAATCACAATAAGGAAAAACAAATACGTTCTTATCTTTCAGTTTGAACCTTTTCCATTGACAGGCTTATACACAACTATTTTGCCCCTGGCAATGTGTCTAGACAATGTTTGTTACTTGCTTCAGTTCTGAAAGATATGCAATGAATACAGTGGTCATCACAAAAAATCTCTTCAGAAAAAAAAAGTTTGGTATTAGAAAAAGCCTTCTACAAAAAGAAAAAAAAAAGAAATTACGTTCACTCTGTGCATTCCCTTTACACTTGAATAATAAGACATTATTGGAAGGTTACTGGCTGCAGCATCATGGCTGAATTGGTCCAGATATTGGCTATTCACCAGGGCACAACACCATGTACATAAAAATAGGAAGAAAATCAATACATTAAAAATCACATGTAAGGAGGAGTCGGTAATCAGGGCATTTACTATTAAATTAAAATCTCAAAAACAAAAGAATAAAAATACCTAAACGTCCTGTTTTCTAGCGCATAACCAGCAACATGCTTGGCAGTCCACTCATTTTCAGCAACCATGTTACAGTCACATAATTCACAACAGTTAGGAAATTACTAAGCTAGTGATGTTTAATGCCTTATCACTACGATAACACAAGTCCCTGTAACTGATCAAAACTATGAAACTACACAAACAGTGAAAAGTTCCTTTCACCATTACTATAGCAAAATTTGCAGCCAAAAGAAAAGAATTTCAGTCAAAATGAGTGCTGATCAAAAATCTCACTTCAAAGAATGGAAAGGGAAAATATGAGTAAACAGATACGGATGTAAATATTTTCCTGAAGGAGAGCCAGATTCAAACAAGAGAACCTTAATGAAAGGCTGCTCAGTAATGAACCATGCAGCAGTTTGAGCCACCAGCTTGACTCTGTAGTTTGATGCTTACAATTTTAATTTATGTCAAACAGATTTATGTAAGAAAAAGTCAATACAAAGGTCTGCATTTAAATCTTGTATGAAGGTATAATTTTGTAAAGTGGAAAAACAACATGAAAATGCGTCTTTGCCCAGACACGCATTTACACTGTAAACTAACATTCCTTGCTAATTGATTGGTCAGCATGGATAATGAAGTATGTTATTTTTGTTTCCTGCATTAAGGGTATGCCAAGAAAACGTATGAATAGAGATTTATCTGCCACAGCCATTATTAAACTGCCATTTTGCTTCCTAATAAATTCTATCTGAAGAACACTGAGTAGAATTTAAGAATTCAAAGGAAGATGCTGTACTCCGTGCTGCTCTCTCAATCACTCTTGTTCTTCATGGACTCAGCTACTTTTCATAGAAAATGTGCACATTTTAACTGAAATTTAAATATAATGCAGAAAAAAAAATTAAAATAACCTGGTAAATCAGCTTTTCAAATGCTAACAACTAAACTAAAAATAAAATTTTTATTCATCATAAGGTAATGCAAATATTCTCACCACCGACAGTACAAAACTGATAGAAGAAGATCTGAAGAATGAGGAGTGTATTTTCAAGAGTTGCAAAGATTCTGTAAAGCTACAGAGCATTAGAACAGCTTATTCAAACTTGAATTTTATTATATAAAGCTTTAAAGTCATATTTCTCGTGTGATTAACTAATGAAATTGACAAATACTTCACAGGAGCATTGCAAATCAATGGGTTACTAGGATTAATGAGGCAAGAATAATGGTTACCAGATTTTAATACAAGTAGCATTAATTAAATATTACAAACTCATGGCAGAGAAAGTATAACATGGATTTGAACTGCATAAATCATTACAGAGAAGGTACTGCAGATTATAAGACTGGTTGTAGACTAGAACATGATTGAAACAGCATTTAGTTCTGCACTAGTTCTGACATTAATGCACTAACAGCCTTCAGTTACTGACTGCTCTTCCACCTTTCAGGATAATACATTGACAATTGCTTCCTCTGCATCAATGGATGCTCTACCATGCACCATAATTTTGCAAGCAGCATTGGTGCCAACATAACCAGCAGATGCGTAGCAAATGAATTCTGATTATATTACAAAAGCTACAAATCTGTTTATGTCAAAAATCTCATTAAAAGAAAGTAAAAATAAAAATAGAAAGGCAGACTTGTATAGCTTGAGAGAAAATACATTTTTTAAAAATACCTTTTCAAATTTGGACTACTTGGAGCTTAACTATCTCAACTATCTACATTTACATTGCTGCCATATGAGATGACATTGATACAGCTAATAATGTCAGAATACAGGGCATTAAAGGCAATAGGGATCTGTTGTAGATCCATGCCTGCTACTGAGTGCAGTTTGTCAAAATCAATGTGAGAGCCTGAGTCAAACCTTTCTTTGCTGTCAACAAACACTACTGAAATAAAACTGCATTTCTTCTCCTGTGGCTATTCATCCAGACTAAACATTTCTCATCTAACACAGACAGTTAATCGGTTAGTTTGCAAATTAGAAGTCTAAGAAACCTAAGGATTTCATCATATTACCCATCAAAAAGAATCTGTTATTTCAAAAGAACAACAACAAACAAACAGGACATTACATACAAAAACACATTCACTTAATAAAACTGCAACACTAAGACATTAAGATTTTAGAAAGGTCAAAATAAAGGTAGACTGGGAAACTTTGATTCTGCTACCTCTGGTGCATATGTTTTCACATCACACAGTCTATAAACACATACAAACAAACACATTGTACTTAAGACTACTGAATCATTCAGTACTCGGGGTGAATAACACCCTAGGGAGCAGAGGTGGAAGATTCACAAAAAAATCAACCTTGCTTAATGCAAGTGGCAACAACCATTTAGGGGCAGGTGAGTAAGGTAAGAAACGGTGAATTAACACATATTAAAATGCTACTCCTTAAGAAACAAAACCTATTTCTATCACAGAATTCCTACATGATAACACTTCAGCAATTCACACAACACCTTCCAGCCCCAAATTGTTTCATTTCCTCCAAGGCTAAACTGAGGCATAGCAAGCTATGTGAATGAAGCTAGGGAATACACTGGCTGTACACATCCTGAAATTCTTCATCAGTTTTAAAATGATCCTGGAAAACATGGCACTCCAGTGCTCAATAAGGAGCAGACAGTACAGTTTGTGTTAGCCTTTGACAACCTCCTTTTTTCCACAGAGCCTTTCAGAAGCCAATCATAAATACGTTGCTGCATCCTTCTAAAATGCAAGGCCTTGCCAATCCTCTTACACCTGACTGTCCACCCATCCAGTGAGTAGAGAAGGCTCTGATGAACAACAGAAGCTACAAGTGCTGCTATGATGAACAAAGCAAGGAACTGAAAATAGTTGGAGGCTTTTGAGTAAAATCAGGAACAGGTATTACTCAGTGGGTATTCTGCAAAAGTTAGAGATCACAGGGTACTGCTCTTACACTACAGAATTTCAGCTAGATTACAGCTATATCTGTTTATTTTCATGGTTTTTAGCTCAAGATACATTATTTGGAGAATCGCTGAAGATTCACGCTTGCAACTGTGAGCTAACAATAGCTGGAGACTTGTAACAAAAAGATGAAGAGGAGCTAACAAGATCTACACTGACATTTTCTTCTCAATGCATTAGCTGCTAAACAATAGGAAGCTATTTTCCTTTCCAAAAATTTAAAAGTAAAAAGTTGAGGAGTCAGACATGCAGTTTAAAGAAAGATCTCTGCTCCTAACATCAGCAGACTCAAATCTTGTTCTGGCACTTCATTCTAACGTTAATAATAGATCTCTCACTGTTTTGTCTTCATATAATAACATTGACCTTATGATGAGCTTCCACTGTAACTGCTTGAAAGAGCGATGTCCGCCTGCTGTGAAAACCACTCATTTCAAATTATTCCATGTTAGTAGTTTGTCACAATTCTTTTTTCCCTTTGCTAGCAAATAGAGAAATACTCTTTCTACACGCACCAAAATTTCACTGTCCTAAATCCTTGTTAAAATTGAAGTGTCTTTTCAATTCAGTGTTTTTTGTAACTGAATGAAGCAAAGTAAACACCAATACGTTCAGATTTTGTGATAAGTATTTGTTTTCAATCCCTGTTAAGAAGTGGCATATTGAATTTGTCTGCTTTTACCATCAAGATTACTGGTGCAATTTGATTGTTCACCAAAAATTCCAGATAATATTGGTATTCCACACAATCTTCCACAGTGTCCATCAGAGTGACAAATATGTTTATTATTTGGTAAAGCAGAATGCAAACAACAGTATGTTTAATGCCGTATTTCCAAAATATAATCCAACTAGGTTTAGAAATTGCATTTTCAACTTCTTGAAGAGGAGGAGGGCAGTAACGTCAAAATAGTAACTAAGAACATTTCAATAATTCGTATTCTCCCAACAAATACTGGCAACTTAAACATTCATTTTACCTTGAGAAGATACGTAGGAATATTGCTGAAATCTACAGGCAACTTCAAGAGGAAGCGAGCTGAAAATTCACCAGTCTGTGGAAAAACCATAAGACTAATGAGAGCAAGTGTCCAAAGAGCTACAAAGTAAACATTCTGAGAACGGCATATTAACCAGAAAACACGTAAGAGCTCATACCAAACAGAAGGGTTGAGGTTTAAAACAGCATTTCTCAATGAAATTACTGAAGATGAAAAGAAAATTTACAGATTCCACAGGCATTACAAAAACACTCTAAGACCATAAAACATCATTGCCAATATGCTAACAATTAGTCGGAATGCAACAACGTACATGACAAAAATCTGACTACACTTAGGTTCTAAACGCAAATTTGCCTTGTCTGGTCTCATTTCTGGTTCAGTGAGACCTGCAAACGGACTGAAGGGAAATGACAAAGTTTTGAGAGCATAGAGACAAAATACATGCATCTTCACAAACATCACAGATTCACGTAACAGAAGACTTGGGTAAGGTAAGAATGGCTCAGAAGAGACCTCAACAAACATAGACAAAAAAAACAACAACAACAATGAGCTAGAATGCTTTCTGTCATTTCTTTTCAGAGATACGTGGTTCTTAACACCTACACAACTGTTTACTGAAAATCTGCCAAGCGTCCCCTGCACATTGAAGGTTTTTTTGCATAAAGTGTATGCAAAGGAAATGGAAAGGATTTCCTTTCTGTTTCATACACTTCCTTAAAACCAGACTTTGTCCACCTGGTTATCAAGCAGTGAAGTTGGCTCTTTTTTGAAAAAACAAATGTCTGATTTTCTCTGCCTTAATTTTTTGCCATCCTTACTCTGGAATTCAGTAAAGCATACATACAGGATATACAAACAGCAGCTATATTTGTTAATTACATTGACTTAGCTGTGCAAAAAGCATTAAACACTTATTTTTTTTACAACTCAGCCCAGAATCTTGAGAAAAGTTCCTTTTTTCAGTTCTAACACTATCTTATTTTTGCATACATTTTCTATTTATTTCTACAATGACATCCAATTTCTTAAATATAATACCTCATTTTAAGAGGCAAGGGGACAAATCAAAGCTGTGTGAATATTCAATATTTATTCTGCCACAGTAATCTATATACGTACTACTTCACTATTCCCCAAAAATAGTTTTCTATAGCTAAATTTTATATTACAATTGTCATTAGAAGTTTAAATGTAAATACATTTCTACATTTAAATAGAATCATCTTTATTGCAGACACAGCTGTGTCTTCAGGCAGGCAGAAGCCTGGGATATACCTGAAATAACAAAAGTAGTCCTTCTATAAAATGGAGCAGCAGCAACAACCTACAGAAGTAAATGACTTCTTGTGCAAGCAGCACAAAGACTGCTTTGACATCAGTTGGGGCACTTGGTATTTTATCAGACCAAAACTGATATTATAGACAGCAATTCTTGTCTGGACCTCATTTCCAAAGCAGATGTCATACAACGTTTGCCAGAAAAATCTAGAAAGTGATTTCTGGTTGAAGACTAAGTCTGATGAACTGCGAGTGAACGCTGAACAAATAAATGGCCTTTGATCAAAACATCAGCTGCTTCATGGCATGAAAGTACATCAGGGCTTGCAGGCCAGATCTTTTATGTCATTCAATTAAGATTGTGTTGCAATGTAGTACTCCCAGAGAGGTTCTGGACTCACAGAGAGCAGCCCCTGCCCAAATTGCTCAACTACCCAAACCTTGCCAGCTGCTGACAGGCATACGGTGAAGTCAGACGTACTTCTGGCCATAACACAGAGAGATTAGATTCAGGTAGTTAATGAGCATCTGCATCAGATGGAACTCTGCCAACATGAAGCCACCACACTAAATAGCAGTTTGTCTCTGTCACAGGTCTTGGAGGTCACTTCAGGAAACTAGACGTACACAAGCAAATTTCTGTTCCAATTTGGGCCACAACAACTCAGGCCTCCTTTTTAAAAAAAATGTATATTTATTAATTCATGCACGTAAGATAATTACATTCACAACACTATGCAACGTGCATTCATAGATGATTATTTCGCAAGTCTGTTGAACCAGCACCAGTTCATTAGAGACAGCAACAGCAAGAGTTTTCATGAGTTCTAGGCAAAGGAAGTAACACACTGTTAGTTACCTCTCGATTCTGAGAAATGCTGGTATTGCACCAATTGTCAATACTAACAAGAGAATTGTAAAGGATATGAAGGGGAACAAAGATGAGCTTCATAGTTTTGTGTTTCAAGACACTCACAAAGAAGCCTCCATAATGCAGGTAATATATTTACAGATTTTTCAAATGAGACCTTTGAGATCTTCTTGATAGAGAATACAAACTTTGAAAACAAAGCACATGCTACAGAAACCTTACATAGCTTTGAAATAATTGAAAGAATTTGCCTCAAAATGTCTTTGAGATTTATTTTATTTGAATATTTTAAGTTTAGACAACATTTCAATGCCAAATTAAGATAACATTTCAAAGTCACAAAGGACTGGGGAAAGAATCCAAAGACTTCAGCAGACAGTTCTTCCAGAAGGAGGAAAAAAAAAAGTTTTCTACAATCTTCACTACAACTTTTGGCAGCTGCCAAAAGCGACAATAAAATCTGAGTATGGTACAGAAAGCACTTCAGTAAAACTGTCTGATGATATTTACAGATGTGGCGAGTTGCTTGTGATGCCAGCTACAGAAAATAACACTTAAGAAAAAACATACTGATTTAGAAACAGAGATCTAAAATTCTCTGATAAGAATAAAGCCAAGTAAAATTAGTACAATTAGTGAGCTGTAAATCCTCATGTCATCTGTTACTTAAGGACAGTGAAAGTGACAAAGGTGAATTCTAGTCTGTGATAAAACAAGTGCTGGAATTTCATTTCCAGACTACATCTATTTCGTCAGATATTGCTCCTCAAAAATAATATGCATCAAGATTACACTGCTGCTGAAAGTAAGATGGGTATGTGTCCAGCATAAGCACTATTATGTATTTTCTGATATAACTTACTCCAAAATTCCAGTGATAAAAACACTATTAATGGGGAACACAGCAGAGTTAACAAATAAATAAGTAGTTAACTTGCACACCAACCCAGATGTCTACATTGCCAATAATCTCCACTTACAAGGTGGAGATGGCATGGCACACTGCCCATGTAAAGGATGCAATTTCAGGAAATAGATGAGCCAGTTTTATGCCTGAGTGCCATGCGAAGACATGGTCCTACAAAATCACTGCCTCTAGCCCATCTCACCTCCTCCGATCCTGCAGGAAATCAGTCTTTTTTTTTTTCCCTCACCTATTTAGGTGCCTGGAACAACTCATGTCTGATAAGCTGCGGTGCGATACAGGCAACGGCAACTACCAATTAAATCTGCTCAACCTTAACGTGGAAACACAGTAATACATTCTAGTTCTAAGCAGAGCTGATTTGCCTGAGCAGGGTGTCATACCAGTGCAGTTATCCTGCCCCGTAAATATCACAGGCTTTTCAAAAGTTTATCACTTCATCCCCAAATCAGATGAACTAACAGTAGGTTGAAAAAAGATTTGCTCACCTCAAAATTTAGTTCAAGCAAGGTAATGGAATGATTGAAAAGGACAAAACCGAGAGTACAGGAAAGGCAGCTCAGTGAAATAAGTTGTGTTCATTGGAAATAAAGCAAGGAGATGCACACAAACAACCTGGTTTTCTAAACCAAGAAATGTCATTTACTAAAATTAAAGGATCACAAAGAGCATTGTAGCAGCAATTCTTAATAGCTTACCCAGTTATTTTTTTTGCCAGCATAGATTTCCATATTTTCTCCATACTGGGGCTCTTCAAGTAAAGTCTGATACTCAAACATGAGACGTGAGCTCTCACGTAATCGGCTGCACTGAAATTGATGATACTGCTGCACGAGCTCTTTCACAACAAGCAGGAGGCATTCAGGATTTGAAGGATTCCAAGAAGCCAAATTCTGTTGAATTTTAAAAGAACAGAGACTGAATTCATTTCCAGCAATAGGACAAGAATTTTCTCCTCCATACCGAAATCAGAGGTAAATACACATTTGGAAGTTTGGTGTCAAAGCTTAACATTAAATCTTCAGAATAAATGGAAGGGTTATATCATGCTTTGGAAGGAAAACAGTTTGAAAAGCAAAAGCACGCCTTAATGTGAAATAAGAGCCCATATAGTGACCTACCAAAAAACAGATAATGGAGCTGCTACTAGGCATAGATACGCTCAAATGACCATTCCATTCTTCCCCAAAATTACACTGCCCAATCTGGGGACTTGAAAAGTCTGAATTAAAAAAAACTGAAAACTGATATAGAACATACGATGATAAGATTAAGCATAACCCTGAACAGTATCTAACTCAAGAAACAGCCAAGTGACTATGCCAAGATGACACTAACAATGGAAACTAATTACTCAAATTGTATTGACAGTGACATGGCAAACTGACTCAACTTTATGCCCTGCTTCACCGGGACAGTCTCTTCACTGCCTTGATTCATTCCCTTAACACAAATGACATCCATACAGAAATCTCTTCCATCTGCCTGGCAAATTTATTACAAGTTGACTATATATCAAGAAACACAAGAAATAAATATTAATACATTTGAAAGCAACTGCGTCAGCAGAACAGTCACAGCCTCTCAGTGCATCCACTCTGAACTCACTTAGACCAGTCTTCTCTGCAAACTAAGTTTTAAGTGGAAAGGTTTTGCTTTATTAGCGATATCTAACACCATCAGTGTATGTGCCTGCTTCTGATTGACCTACAATGGGTACGTGTTAATGTCAAATGGAAGCTCATTCTTCACTCCATGCCAATAGAACAATAAGACAGTTCCAACATAAAAACCACAGGATAACTCCAGACTGCCATATGCTTTGTACTTATGTCCTCAATGGGTCTTGATATAAGCTCAGGGCACATTAACAGTCAGGCAGCCTTTGGTCAGCTGTTGAGCATAACTACATGAATGAAACTGGATAAAAACACATCCCCAAAAATATAAAAGCTATTAATATTTTGCGTAATATTATAACCAGACTTAATAAATACAAGAGGAACAGGCTGCCCAGAGAGCTTGTTGAGTCTTGGGTATACTCAAAACCAAACTGGAAGCAGTCCTGGACAATCACCTTATTCAACTCTGTCTGAGCAGGCTTTTTCCAATCCCAGTTCTTCTGCAATTTTATGTGCAATTATTTATTTTACAAAAAGATAAATTGAAACAGAGAACCTTTCAAGCAAAGACTCCATCTTCTGAGCCAAAAAGAAAGTTACAAGTTTTACCTTCTGATACTTTTCACTCTGCACCTTCAGCTCTACAACAGAAACTACTTTTAACCTAACATCTGATGATGCAGCCATTTAATTTCAAAAGGCTTATAACTACTCTTATTTCTGTTGACTTGAGTGTAACCCTTTGGCATAGTTTTGTATGGACTTCATTATATGCACATGATGACAAGATTTCCTTGCTCTCTTTTCACAACTTCTTATTGCTTTGTCTCTGAAGTCAAATATATTAAGATGCTATCAAAACGGCTTTCTTAGTTTCAGCATCATCACTTATAAGATACAACTCTACAAAAGAGTACTATCCTTTCCCTCCTAGACAGAAAGGATACTATAGAATGCAAATATCAGCATCACCCTAACTCAAAATGTATATTACAGACCAAGGTAATTGGTAAATGTGTGAGTGTAGCAATCAGACAGACCAATACAAAGGGAAAGGTACCACAACAAAGGTGTGATGACACTATTAAAAAAAAAAAAAAAAAAAAGGTGCTACAAAGGAAGGGAAGAAGATTGCTCACTCATAGCAGAAGATTCTAGGTTCACAAGGAAAAGCTCCACCAAGAAGAGATCTTCTGAAAGAGATCCTTCCCCAGTGGCAGCCAGCCCTTAAATGAGGTCTAGAAGAGGTGCAGCCAGGCTCCACCCCTTCTGGTCCCACACTTGAATTGCCTTCACCTGCACTCCCAAGGCTGACTGGGTCCTTTCCCCAGCTGCTCAATCAGTGGTTCAGGCCATGACTCAACAGTTCTCATACAATGAGATAGCAATAAGGCTCCTGTAAGCTTCTCACATCCATACCAATGAGTGACTGAAAGCCTTGTTCTACCCTTTCTTCCATCTGCAGCTTGAAAAAAAATTTATTCCCAACCATTTAAATTTACTCAATTCTAAAAAAAACACTAGAGAAAATCTCTAAGGTAGATAGTGTCTTCTAGGAAACACATTTTGTATAGTACAGCCTAAAACTAGATGTGTATAACCTTAAATTTCCTGTTCCCAAGCTCCTGCTCAAATAAAGCATTTCCAGAAAGCCAGAGGATGTAATATGCCAGTATGTATTGATATCAGCCAGACAAGTGAGAATAACCTTTCCTCTTAATGACATTGCTAGAACACAATGGAAATGTTCTGTCAAAGGAAATGACCAACAATATCTTAATAACCGACCTAAATGCAACTGTACCTTTTGTTTTTTAAATAATATTACACTACAGAACAAAAAAAGAGTAAGAGGAAATCCATTGTTATTTGTCCTACGTGGAACTGAACTATTGCTTTCTTCAAAGAGTTCAAGAACGCTGCATCAAAACAGCGCTGACGCTTCGCAGTTGAAGGAATTAAAATGAATTATGTGGCTCTAGGATCTTTACTAAATGCCCTTCGTTCAGCAACCATGGAGTCAAACTAAGTATGAATTGGTTCTAAGAACAGATCACCTGAGGAAAACTTAACTAACAATCCACCAAGTACGCATGCCAATTCCAATCCATTCTCAATGCAACAGTAAATACAGAGAAAATACACAAATTTTCTCTAACAAGTTCTGATTTAAATACACATTATTTTTTAACTTTAGAATTATATTATTAAGATACTTGCGAACTGCCTATTGGCCATTACTTTTCTGGTCTTTTTTTTTTTTTTTTTAAAAACTTTTTAGAAATGTTCTTTTCAGATCTGAATTCATAAATTTTAAACCAAAACTCTTTTGAATATGACTTAAATATGAAATCTTTTTACCTAATTTGAAGTGGCATTTGTCCTAAGCACTGCTCTTTCACCTGAAAGTATTTTTTAAGCCATTTTACTATAACTCAATTTCAACATCATGTCCCAAATACAAGCTGTATTGTTCTTCCACAGCTTCAAATAGTACTTTCTTTAATCTTCCTTTATTTTTGAAGTCAGAGACAAAGAAAGCAGCTATCTATAGCACAGACAGAAATATAACAGAAGCAGAATTTGATATTTGTCAGGTTGATCCTTTGTAGAATGTCCTAATCACTACGGTTTCAGCACTGTAATGAATCTCCTGAGAACACGCAAAGATTTGTCACTTAATTCAATGTGCTCTTGCAACAGTAAATTGACCTCTTTCTTTAAAAATGTTCTAAATAATATTTTATTCAGCAGTGTAGTATTGCTTACACAAGTAGCCTTTGGAAGTTGTTTTAAGTAATATCTTAAACTAAAGACTTCAGAGGAAAAAAAAAAAAAAGGAGCAGCAGCCTGCTTCCTTCATTTTCTGCTTTTTGCCTGTTTTCCAACCCTGGCCAACACCGTTTTTGTACAAAACAATATTTTAAAGTACTTAAAGCACAAGAAGAACAAAACGAGCTTCCAGTGTTTCTGTGTTCCATGGCTCAAAGTTCTGTCACAAAAAATTGCATAAAATTTGTGCTAAGGATGTATACATACACAAAGTTAAGAAGTTTAGTTGTTACACTTCAGAAAAATCCTGGAAACATTGAAACACACATTTGCTACAGCCAGACTGCAGAAGCCTGGCAGGTATGAAAAACCCAATTAAAGAAATACCCAGCAAATATGTACATGGCAGAATACGTGTTGCTTTCCATAGCTTCTGCCTAAATCGCCTTCTGTCTTACTTACCAGGACCTTTAATTTTGTCTCTGACAAAAATGTATGTATTCAAATAAGCTAAAATAAAAGAAAGGAAAAAAAAAAAAAAAGAGAGAGAAAGAATTTTTTAAAGAGACAACTATCATATTGCAATAAAAATGAATGTTATATCCAAAAAGTGAGCACACTGACAGGAGTACTGACAGTATCCTAACTTAGATATTTCATTCAATACATCTTTTCTAATTTGAAATGAGATTTCTGCAGACTTTCCAGAGAACTAATCAAATTTTACAGAACAATCAGTAATGCATTTAAAATAAAAGAAATCCAGACTTGGATCCAATTCCCTGTCCCGTTTGCCAAGAGATATTTTTAAAGGAACTCTGCAGTGCAAATTTGTAGCCCACCGTAAAACAGTAAGTATACAACTATGAATCAACTCCAACTGTGCATCCACAACTAGTTCTGCATTCATGCCCATAAAGGCTTAAATGCACATCTTGGAATGGTTACAACCATTTTAATGTTAGTACCATTTTCTCTGCTCATCATGGAAGAATTTGTCTCTTATTTGCTGAGTCTGTGGATGGAGTCTCAGTTAAACAATTCTCTTCTGTTTAGGCACTGCTCATGCTTCTGCCTATAACCTCCACAACTAGATGCAATTCCACAATTTGAATTTTAATTTATACCTTTTTAATCAGCCTTCCTATTGCCATAATGAAACTCATGTAACTTTCATTTTCTACAAAGTTGAATTGTTACCTCATCTTAAATAGTTTAGTTCAGTAGCAGGTCAGTAGCGTGAGAAAACAACTATGCATTTTCTGTGCAGACAGAAACCTGGCAACGTTAGCTGTGATGGCTGGCTAACCCTCATTCTTCCAATTAGAGAATTAATTCTAAATAGTAGGACTAAGCTGTTCCACAGGAAAAGCACGTGTGTTCCACCTTCCATATGACAGAGAACAGATCCCAGAAACTTCAGCAGGTAGCTGTGCTCATAGTGAAGGTGGCACTAACTGCCATCTGTCCACCAGCAACTCTCCATAAGGAAGTCAATA